CTGCTGGGTGCCAGTCTCCTCCCCAGTCCCCTGGGGAGCTCACAGCCTGTGCTGTGTGAGCCAGCTCTACCCCGCCTGGTTGGCACATGAAGCTGCTCTGTGGCTGAGTCATCCTGCAGCTTTTGGCTCCTTCCTGAGTCACCCCAGTCGGACCATCCTCCCAGACCCTCACTGGCGTTTCAGGCAAGCTGAGGTGGGAAGGGAAACTTTGTGTCTTTGATGCATAAAGCTTTCATGTAGGCAGAGGGAGATGGGCAGAGCACGCTCTGTGCACAGAGCGGTATGAGGGTGGCTTGTAGCAGCTGCGGGCTTCAAAAGGAAGAAACAGTGCATCTTAGTAAAGTACAGTCTGATCCCTTCTGTATAAATACCAGGACTCCCATTCTCTTGGAGAAGAGATTCCTGCCCCTAAGTACAAGATCTGCCTTATATTTGGTGCCTTCTTCACCAGCAGTTCCCATCCTGCCTGTTTACACCCAACGCAGCTGAGGTAGAACATAAAGCCTGGTCCTTCATTCATCTCACAAGTACAAAACTACCAAATTAGGCTAAACCTTCCTGTAAAATATGTTCCAACTGATGTTAATAAGAAGAGCTGTGGGTGCTTTTCATTGCTTGCGGGTGTCACATGAAGGTTCAGTGTGTGACAGTGACAGCTTCAACTGCGGAGACTGATTGTAGTACCAGATGGGAGTCAAAAATTGCTCATCTTCTTTGCAGCATCAAGTCAAACTGGCTGAGCCCACCCTGGTGGAGAAAGCAAGTTTGTGGCCTTAAAGAGGCAATGCCTTCTCAGTTTTGGTGGAAGAACCTCTCTGAAAGGCTCAAGCAGGGTCAGTTATCCTAACATTCCAGAGCTTCAGGATGTCATGGCCAAGGGCTACACCAAAACTACATCATTACATTTTGATCAATGATCATTGATCAATTCAAAATGAATCACTGATCCATGGAGCCCTCAATGTACACATGAGCTGAGACATGACAGAGGCTGCAGCTGCTCAGCACCCATCTCCCCAAACAGCCATGAGCACAGGGTTCAGAGCAGGGTGTTCATAGTGTTGGAAAAAATTCTTTTTGTTTAGTTTTGAGGAGAGATATATATATAATTTTTTATGATAAAAATAATTGAGTTGACAAGAGCACTGATTTCATGCTGGGCTTGACAAGGCTGCCAAGACTGTGTGTGTTGTGCTGTGGGTATCTGTCCCTGCTACAACAGGGCAAGAAAATAGAGGAATGATCTGGGGTTGTTGTTAGGTAATGAGGGAAATAAAATCAGGTTATGAATGTCAATGACCAGTGACTGTCTCCTTTGCGAGTTACTGAGCTGCTCCTTAAGGCTGACATTTTGGAAAATCCTTACACTGCTGTTTGGCCAAACTAGATCAACTCAACATTGGAGGGACTTTTTTGCCTTTTTTCTATGTTTTATGGTCTTTTACCGACTCCTTCTCCTTGGCTACGGCAGTGCTGGGGAGGGTGGAGGTCTGTGTGCTGGTGGATCTGGGGAGATATGAATCAGCTTCTCCTTGGATGAAGATGGCACAGATTTGGGGAGAGCTGTGGGTGTTTTTATTCCCCCGCTATTGTATAGATCCCTTATTTTTGTCTGTCTCATATGGTTTTGGACAGTGAGTGATTCTCGCGGTATTTAAAAGATACTTCTGGGAATTGTGCTGTCAGCACTCCAAGAACAATGAGCAAAGCCAAAAATAACTGTTTACTCTCACTAACGACAGCACAGGGTCTCCCTGGGGTGGGTTTTGTGCTCAGACCCTGGAGTAAACCCACGGGTGCCTGAACCCCAGTGCATCAAAGGGATGTGAGGTCGGTTAGGGTGGACATCCCACCATGCTCCTCGTCCTCCCTTTGCCTTGTTCCCATTCCCACCCTGCATGGGTGAGGGAGGCTGAGACATTGTCTTCTCCCAGTGGGAGTCCTGTGGACAACAGACAGGCAGATCACCCTGGCTGAGCATCAGATGGGAACTTGCAGGACACTGGTGGCCCACGTCCTCCCCTTGGTGTGTTCCTGGTGGGTGGCAAGGTGGGCTCGTGATTGCCCTTGCTCTCTGTGATTGCAAGGCTGGATAACCTGGTTGGCTTCCTCCTCAGTTCCTGAGCTACCTGGGTGCCTGTGACCGGCTGCTGAAGCAGGGCTACGAGGAAGGGCAGGTGGAGGAGGCCATGGAAATGTTCCAGTACTCCGAGAAAAAGGTCAGAACAGGGTGGTATCACCCAGCCCTTTGTGCTGTGTCCTATGGGCTCTCTTTTCCAGCAGGCTATGTGCTTCTCTCCACCTCCACTGCCCCTCACACAGCCCCCCAGTGGGTCAGACCCACTGCCCTGCCAGCAGTGAGACTCCCAGGGCAGCATCACCATGAGGACCCCTGGGGAAGGACACCTGCCCCATCACTCTTCTCCTATCCTCTCACCCCATGGTGCAGCTCAGTGCTTGCTCACACTCTGTGCAGGGAATGCTCTGACCCAAGCCCACCAGCACCCACACTCCTTCCCTCCCTCCTGACTCCCTCTTTGCATTTCCCCCCAGGGAAAAGAGCTATGGTGGCACATGGGGCATTGGTCTCTGTCATCAGTCTCCTCCTGGGGTTAATGAAGAGCCTGGAGGGGTAGAAGTGCTTGAAATCTGGGCTTGCCAGGACCCTGGTGGTCTGTAGGATTGCTGTGTCACTGCTCCTTAGGGCAGAGGCAGCAGGAGACGCCTGGGGCTTGGTGTCAGGGGAGGCTTTATTTATTGAGGACACGGCTCCGGGTGATGTCCTGGTGCTGGGGCCCAGCCTGAGCAAGGGGGGAAGCAGGACAAATAAATTCCAGCTTGTGCTCACTGCCCTTCCCTGCTCTCTTTGTAACACAGACAAACCCTGCATGGAATTGATACAAACTTTATCAGGAATAAGTGAAATTAGAGGGTGACTTTAGCAACTATGTCTTATTTAAGAAGTTTAAACACCATCAGGGGTGTGTATGCCCCTGGGCTGCTGTCACGGTGCCCTTTGGCAGTAATACAATCCACCCAGGTCATCTGGCTGCAGCCTTGTCCCCCAGCACTGCTTCTGCTGCAACCCCAGGATGGATCCATCCATGATAACATCACTCCTCTCTCTTCTTCTTCCTCCAGGCAGCTGAATTCTTGCGTCTGTTGGCTCAGTTTAACGATATGGGCTTCCAGCAAAACGAAATCAAAGAAGTTCTTTTGCTTTGTGGGAATCAGAGGGAGAGAGCACTGGAAGAGCTTGTGATGAAAACCCACTGAGCAGCATGCTGGACCAGTCACAGCTTCCCCTCTCCAGACTGGACCAGAAGGACTTGGGTGGTTCTGCTGCTCCATCCCCACCTTGGGCAGCACTGGGCACAGACCTTCACAGCTCTGCCTTGGTGTCTCATCTCATTTTATGGACACCCATCATAAGAGTGTTTGTTACTGTATTCAGGCGCTGGCTTCCTAGTGGGAATGTTTATCTCCTCACTCACACATCCCCACCCTGATCATCTCAGCTATTCTGATTAGATGCAACAAAATCCAAACCGCCTGCAGCTTAGATTTTTGGAAAACCCAAACCACAGTGTTTTCCCTCCACCTGGGTGATGGGTGTCATGTTTTCAGCTACAGTGTGGATTCTTAAGAGATTATATAAATCAGCAGAAGAAACTGTTTTCCTAAAAGTTAAAGGCTCCTGCAGGAACATGTGTTGGTCCTGGCTTGGGATGAGTTTCAGCTGACTTAGTCATGGTTGAATATTGTAATTGAAATCCAGTTTAATCACATTAGGTTCTCCTTTTAAACCAGAAATGTGAAAAAATGCTCAATTCCATGAGGGTAAGGAAAGAAAACAGGCTGCCCTTGCTCCAGAATACATGAGGTTTATCCAGTGCAATGAAAAGTGGTGGAGGCAGAGGTTTGTCCCCAGGGAACTTTGTGAAATCAGAACAGAGACAGGGAACAGCTCACTGCCCTCACGCTCTGCCCAAATCAGGAAAATTCAGGGGATCCTTCCCTAAACTGTGGAGACAGTGGCTCCAAATTAAGTTAAACATGAATGTCAGCATCAGGAACATCTGGATGCCTGGGGGAATTTCTGTGTTTAACTGAAGGACAGAGATTAGGAGATTCAGATCACTGTACAGGATGTGTGTCTTGGCTTGGCAGTGGAACAGTGGACAGTGTTTTCACATAAAGTATGTTATTTTCCTGTGAATTAGATACAGATGTAATTTCTTTGAGTAAAGATGCTTGGAGGGTTCTTCTGTTGTGTCTTTTCCTGTCGGGATGCCAACTGGCACAACGCAGCAGAGAAAATCCTTAGTTACTTGCATTAGTACCATTTTTCCATTGTGTCCTTCCAAACCATCTCCCAGCCCAAGGTACTACCATCAAGGTAAAACACCATGTCCCTTCTCCCTGTGTCTCCAGGTGGCTGCCAGACATCAGAAGGGAACAGCCCTCCATGGCTGCCTTCATTCTCTCCTGGATACAACCAGGAGACTTGGCATCCAGGTTTTGGGGGACTTGACCCATCCATCCCTGAAGATGCTTTATCCCTGCTCTTCTTTAATGGCATTCAAGGAGAAAATGTGGCAGCTTGTATGGCCAAGGAGCCAGACTCTTCTTGGAGCTCCCATCCCTGTTTTTCCTCCAGCTTTTCCTTGGTTATACAAGCTTTTATTTTTGATACTGCCCTTATAAGGCAAGTCCATTCTACAGAGAGCTTTTCCTTACGTTCCCCCTTGCCAAGATGATGTCACCTTAAAAAAGAAACTTGCAAAAGGTTAAACTGTGATTAGGCAGATCACATCGGCTCCAACTGTGATCTTTGGCGACGCAAACCATGTGAGGATGGAAAGGGGAAGATAACAGTGCTGTGCTGGTGCCAGTGGTGTGCAGCCTGGAGGGCCAAGTTCTGGTGGAGCAAAGCACGTTGGCAGTGTGGTGCCCACTCGCTGTGCGAAAGCTGAGCAGCAGCTCACTCTCCTTAGAGGTTTGCTTGGTCCTGACTCGTTGTTTCTTGCAGAGGTAAGAGCTGTATTTTCCCTCCTTTTGCACCTAAAATTGTCTTGTGTTACTTTCTGTATCACAGGCTGGATTGATGGATGCAACAAATGACTCCTCTCTTGGGAGCATCCATGCTCAACAGCCTGACAAGACCTGCACTTTCCCCCAAGTGTTGCACTTAAAACCTTTTGCATTTTGTCAACAAATATCTTTGTAAACCCCTTGAACTGTCAAAAACCAGTGTGTGAAGGTGGGAGGAGGCTGCATTGCCTGTTGTCAGAGCTGGAGGGAAGGGAAGAGCCTGCCAAGTTCCACAGTCCAGGGTTAGCCACGGGAGCCTGACATAAATATTTTAGTAACAGAATTATTTTAACTTTATTTTAATGGAGGTTTAAGCTGTTTGTTCAACTTAAAATGGTTTTAAAGCAGTGTGTTTCCATGTGCTGCTCTGCTAGGAGAAGACAACATGATATGTTAATCACTTTCGTCTGGGAAGGGAACGAGGATTTGGCTCCATGGGTTCCTGTAATGTTCTGCCCAGGGACACCAATGCTGCTCAGCTCACACTGCCCATGGTGCAGAGCTGGGGGAGGTCCCTTTGTGTCCCCTGACTGCCTCATGCCACCACCAGACCTGCATCTCCACCGGCTGCAGTCTCATCCTGGGTGTCAGTGGGGTGGTGGCCTGGCCCAGTGGCAGCGGGCAAATGGGGACAAGGCTTATCCAGTGGTTTTCCATCTGACCATGGGTGTGAGTGAGGTTTTCGGGTTTGTTTTGGTTTGTGGTTGCATTTAGTGGGTTTATTATCAAATGCAGAAGTGCTTTGAAAATGCTGAGAACTTGGCAAGGGTCAGCAGTGGAGGTATTTGAGGCATCTCAGCTGGTATTCCCTTCTGCTTCATCCTGGCCAGGATGGCAGGGGCAGCCCAAAGTTTGCCCCACGGACAGGAAATCAGCTGAGCCAGGGACTGGGTTTATTGCTGCAGCACTGTGGTCACAAAGGGGAGCTCTGCGCTCTACAGCCATGCCTGGAGCTGGTGTTGGGGGTCAGCAACCTTCAACACCATCTGGTGGGATCTCATGGGAACAGTTCCTTGCTCATGGAGCTCTGCAAGGCTGGCATCGCTGTGCCATGGTACTGCTCCCTCACCTCATTCCCTTTTGGCCCCCTCTGTACTTCCAGCTTTGCCGTGTCCTCAAAAGACCCTGACTTGACTCAAACGAGCCTCTGGTGAGAGCCAGCACTTGCCACCCCATTGGATCTGTGCTGGACCTTAGAGGGGTGACAGATGGTTCCCAGGTTCCAGAAAACCTTCTGTGCTGTGAGCACCCAATGCCCATGAGCTGCTTTCCTTCACCCCCCACTTCCTCTCCTCCTCCCAGGACCCTGCTGTGGCCATGGAGATCTCCCAGGGGAGCACAGGGCTGTGTGGGAACAGCACTCCCACGTACAGCTCTGAAACGGAGCCGCAGCTGAAAAAGCATTCAGGGGCAGAAGTGAGTCCTGACATGGATGCCTGTTAGGAGGTATTTTCCTTCAGAAGGAGGGGGAAAAACAAACACCAAAACTGAGTAATGAACAACACAGCAATGAGAAGTTTTCTCTATATGTTTCCTTTTAATTCTGGGATATAATGAAAGATTCCCCATCCGGGCGGAGAGGAGGTGGGATGCTGCACACCCTCAGAGTGCAGTCAGAATAGATAAACCCTGTGCTTGAGTCTCTCTGATATCTGTCCTCTGCAGAAGCCATGAAGCCCTGCATGCAATCAGCTTGTGAGCCCACGTCTGGCAGGACTTTGTGCCCGTGCAGGGCAGGCAGCAGCTGCCTGCAGCCCCTTTCCCTCTGGCAGGGTCTGGTGCCACCCCCAAGGTCCAGTGTGACACATGCCTGAACCTGAGCAAGGGCCCTCTGGAGGAGGAGAGGGGCCCAGGGGAACAGCAGCAGAGCTGAGGCCATGTGCAAGGAGAGAATCCTGCCGTGGGACAGGGAACCACCTACGTCGCGAGGTCA